AAATTCGCAGAAAAATGAAATGCAATCACACCACCCTCCATTTTTTGTCCCTTTTTCGTCATCGCGTTTGACCATGATCTTTCACTATAATTCACAGATGACTTATACTAAAAAGGCCAATATTTTCAGCTGTGTAGAGGGTCGAAGAGATACGTCTTTCGTTGAAACAATGAAGTTCTAAATATACATCGTTACTGAGAAATGTTGAAAAAAGTATGGACAAAACGTCATCGCGTCACGCTTGTGAAAGCCGAAATATGCATTTTCATTGTGTTTTATTACCTTTCGAGAAGATAAGGAACAAAATTTGGCGACGATAATACGATCTGGTAATTGAGGTGTCCACAAGAAATCAAACTCTTCCTGGTCTAAGTTTGTCCGCATTTCTATTGGTCGAAAAAATGACCAATCAGATTTTATTTCATGATTGAGCTAAGCAAGGCTCATAGAGTCAGCGCGTTACTTGTAAATTTAGTAAGACGAAAACTGCAAAAATAAAAATTGATGAAATAAAATAGCCAAATAAGAATAATTGAACGATTACAAGGGTCGAAAGTACATTGATCGTGAAAGAAAGCAGAGAATGAAAAAGAATCATTGTTATCATTCCAGTTTGATAGGGAAGAATTTTCTGTATTGATCAGAACTGGAAAGATTTTGTGCTCGTATCAAAAATCCAGACGGCGTCACATGTATTCATTTGCTGTTGATTTTCTTTCTTTTATCAGCTCCATTCGTTCTACCCGTATACTTATCAGTAACCGTTATCTTTCTTCTCATACTGTGCATACACAATGGGAGACAACGGTTCTCTATTATCAACAAAGCGTCTCAAAGAAACAGATGCAGGACGTTTTAGCGACAGCAGAAAGTGGGACTAGTCAACGATTTCAAGCGATTGAAGAAAGAAATTATTTGAACAAAACGAATTGGTATCGTCGAAAAGCTTTAAATGCTATTGTGCATTGTCGACATGGTTTGGATCCTAATTGTGCCTGTGTACAAAATTTCTCAGCAGACAAGAGTAGTCCATTGATAGAGCAGCAAGCAAAAGTGGGGGTGGCCTCGTTTATACGCAGTGAAATGGAAAAGTGGAACCAGCAAGATCATGCCAAATACTCTCTGCTCAGCAGTATCATTAAATGCAAAGCAAACGTGCGAGATTCTTACATCAATCAGTATGAAATCAAATATGGTCCGCTGCTGTCGGAAGATATACTTGACATTGATGAATCTGTTGCTCATCTGAAGATTCCCACGACCTTAACGACATCAATCAGGTTTGTCCTTTGACTAGTTTTTAGACTAATAAATTTTTGAAGTCCCATTTGATGGTGTTTTATCTTAAAAAAGAGAAATAAACTCTCAACAAAACTAATCGATAATGTCGTTCGTCTTTCTTCGCTACTCTCTAAAAAATTCGAGTCATTTCTTGTGCCATAAAATATGGGCAGACCCTTTTTAGAACTCATGCTAAGGGTATCGCTAGCTTGCCGGAATTCATACGAGAATAAATACATAGAAACAGAAGAGGTGAAAAAGCGCAGTTCATTTTAGTTATTTTGATTTCGAACTGAAAGTTTCAACAGACGAGAACAATAACTTACCAAGTCGTTGAAATATACTCAAATGTTTCATTCGTAAAAATCTCATCGGAATAAATTGATGAACTCTAATTCATTTTTGCTCTTTGGAGCATACCATTCAGGTCTTCATAGTCTATTTACGTTATTTCAAAATGCTTTTAGTTCGGCTTCATCGTCGTGTAAAGTCAAAGTGCTCGATATATGCCAGTTGGGTGAACCATTTCGAACGATCGGGAGAGTAGCAAATAGTCCCTTCGTTATGGCTGCAAATGATCAATATATGTTAATTCAAAATGGTCCAAATATTTGCCTTATAAATACAAAAATGAAAGTAGTTCGAGAAATTGAATGGACTTGTGGAAGGATTAGTGATCTATGCTGGAACACAAAACTCAATCAAATTTATATCATTAGTGATTATAAAGTATTTATAATGGGTCCACAAACTATGGACTACCAAAAGATACTTGAAGGGAAGTATTATGAGAGTTGCACTTGTTCACGCGACACACTTTATCTTACTATCTGTCCACCTCGAGAAGTGTTAGCACACTCGTTCTCTGATCTTCTCTCGTCTAAATCTGTTTTTATGTGTCGTGGGAATGACCATGTTGAAGGCATGTCTTACAAAGCTGGCAAACTTGCTTTGATTATGAATAGTCGACTTGGAACAAAGCCTCATGTCGTAATTCTATCAACAACAACATACGATTGTTTATTCGAAATTACTATCACCGACGCTTTTGGCAGGCAACGATGCAGTATTTCATCACTCGGTTTAAGTGGCTGGCTTGTAAACGATTCGGACACATACAATATTCATCACCTCACAAAGGACAACATACTTCGAATGACACCGATTTATAAATACGGCCAGCCGTATAATGTAATTCGACTTGGAGCTGATTATTTAGCGGTCTCGACAGCAACCACTATTAATCTACACAAATTAAAATTTGTGTCAGTAGACGATTTGACTCCGTCAGAAGTATAGAAGAAGGATTTTACAGTTTATAGTCATGTGGAAGTGCCAGACTTCAACTCTATCTATTAGAATGAGAGACTTTTGTGTACTCAAAAAGTGAGTACACTCTAGAATCGATCAGTGTCTCCGTCCGTCCGTTTACATGATAACTTTTGAAAGGAGAGTCCAATCGCGATGAAATTTTCTGCACAGTTCAGTCTTAACAATATCTCAGATGTGGGTGTGGGTGTGGGTGTGGGTGTGGGTGTGGGTGTGGGTGTGGGTGTGGGTGTGGGTGTGGGTGTGGGTGTGGGTGTGGGTGTGGGT